AGGATAAGCTTCCCCCTGCAGCTGATCAGCTGATTTCCGTGCAAAGCGGAGAAGTGGGCGTGTCCAAGAGCGCTTGCAGGTGGCTGAGAGCAACCGAGGCAGGGAGCTGAAATCATGACATTCTGTGCTCTTTTACAGTGTTTAGAGTTTAGAAACATTGTTTAGAATATTGCAAGTGTGTGGGAAGGGTTTAAATAAACTACTACTTACTACTTGTACTAATATTCACTACTTCATGGTTTTTCACTCATCGTGAGGCTTCAGGGTATGGATCCCCAGCGATAAACGAGGGGCTACTGTATGTCTTAATAAAGCGGCACCAGATTTGTATTAACTATAATATAAATATAAATTGCTTGGTTGCAGACTGCTGACTTTTAGGCCAGTGCAGGTACAGTGTCCAGAAAATACAGAGAATATGACTTATGAGCATCCCTCTTTATACGTCTTTAATTTTCTCACTTGATTACTGTCCAACTCCATCATCACTGGCTCCTACACAAACACACATGCACAGCAGATGCAGCCTGTTTCTCCCTTTAGCCAAAGTCTCATTTTCTTCCTGGCCATGATTAGAAGAAAATAGTTGTCAGGGAGAGATACAGAGAGGGAGCGAGATGAAGGGAGACATTAAGGGACATGTCATACCATTCGCAGTGCAGTGGGTCTGACAGGAACCCTCAGGACATGGCACTTGTATCAACTGGGGACCAAATGTAGGTGGTACCAGGCTGTCAGTGCTCTCTAGTTAATTAGAAGACATAGCTGTTTTGGCTCAGTGAGGGCAGTTGGAAATCACAGTCAATTACGTTCAGGTTTAGGACATGGGTTTGGCACCTGAAGTCAGCTTGTCCCTGCTTATCTGATGCTGACCATAATTGCTACATACTTTCTATCCACAGTCAATGATGGCATGTTCATATAATTATTGTCTCAACCTTTTTCTTATCCTCGGAAACAAAATGGTTATATCTATCATGCAGCATCTGCCATCTTATATCATTTTAAGCACTGTAAGATTATTATTTTTTTAATTAAAGACGAAAATATGGTCCATTTGTGCAAATGCATAGCATCGGGTGACCATTGGTTAACAGTTTTTTGTAGTAGTTTATGACAGGAAATGGTGGTACCCTGTCATCAAACATCATTTTCTGACTGTAAACTAAGGATTTTACATACTTTAGATCATTGCACAGAATCCAGGATTTGTTGGTTCTCGACTAGTTAGATAGCTGTGCTATTAATGTGCTCTTTATCGCAACTAAACATTTATAACTTCAAATTTGTCTGGTCTCTTTTCATTCATTTTCCAACCTGCTCAAACAGCATTGCTCACTACTTTGTTTCTGCGCTGCCCTTCGACATATATTATAACACCAGAAATAATGGTTCTGCCATTTTTTGTTGTTGGGACTTAAAACCAACAGGGTCTGGTTTATGGGAACAGACGTGTTGTATATTTTCCCTAGAGTCTTTCTGCTTTTGTGATGTGGGACTTTAAGTCCTGCCTATTCCTCTGCACATAATTATAGTTACTAAGCCTGTCGCGATAAACAATAAATCAATTAATCGCATGATAAATGAAAAATATCGACCTCATTTTCATTTATCGGCTTTATCGTTCCTTTGTGTCTCTTGCTGTCTACTTAAAACACTGGATGATTAAAAGGTTCAACTCCGGTCTTCACTGTCCCCTCCCTTTCTCTTTTTTCTCTTTTCTTTAAAATCCATTTTAACGTCCAAAATCGCATTTTTGGATTGTTAAAAACAGCTAAGCTGAGAAGCTAAGCTACGAGCTAAGCTAACAGTCCAACCTCGGGATAAAAAACCTCCGTCTTGTTGAAGCTCCAAAATTCACGGTTGAAACCCGTGCCTTTGTGTAAGAAGTTGTTTTTCTCTGTAAAAAGAAGCTGAGAACTTGTTTACTGATTTTTTTATTTTTATATTAAAAGCTTTGTGTGACAAATGCTATGCTAAAGAGCTCAAACCACACCGAGCGTCTGCCATTTTGAGAACCGAAGAGAGACAGTGCATGTCACGTCAAGGGGCCTCACTCCCATTTTTCTTAAAGAGACACGCTGCTCGCTCCCTCACTGTCCGTCCTTTGGTTCAAGCAGTCTTATGCTGACATCCAGTGGTCAAAAAAGGTACTACACACAAAACAATTATCAACATTTCTTCTTAAATTTGACAGTAATTCCTAGGGATGCACTGATCCACTTTTTCCACTTCCGATACCGATACCTGAGTTTTAGTGTTGACGGATACCGATCTGTTACCGAAAAACTGTGCTGAATTCCGTTCAACAAACTAGGCGTGCTCTTTAGAGTGAAATTTCTGGAGATGCTTGATTAAGTTGGTAGTGTTATAACTGGAAGTTTTAGTGACACCCACTAGAACTACCGCTGTGCACATATTGCACGCAGTTGTCGAATGTATTGGCTGAGGTAGTGTGAAATAGTTCCAGAAGGCGGGTCCTTTCGCTCGCTCCATTCTGAAAACAATCTGTGCGGTGAGTTCGCTATCGCGTGACGTCACTCAGAGCACAAAGCATAGAATTAGAGTGAATAGATCTGCCCAGTCACGGATTGGTCACATTGTCAAGATACCCGATCCAGAAGTTTTTTTGGTATCAGGACCGATACCGATATTGGTATCGGATTGACGCATCTCTAATAATTACTAATTATTGTCAAATTTCTAACAATATTATCGTTTATTGCAATAATTTCTGAGAAAATTAATCGCCCAGCACAATTTGTTATGGTGACAGGCCAAATGGTTACATGACCTTTCTTTTAAGCATGTAAATAAGAGCAAAGTCCCTTAACGTGGGAGGACTTAGGACTTGTATTGGCACCAGCCTATGGGGGTGCTGTTCCCCTTTCTTATTCAACTTCTGAGATCCTATATGGGGTCCACTATTATAATATGTCAATGTTTGTTTTCATGGATGAAACGGGATGAATAGCAAAGTTTAAATATTGCTTACAAAGGTTACACAAGTTTTTTGTTTTTTTTACAGACATCAACAGCGTTCAAAAAACAGTGTAGATAAACTGTCAGAGATTGTAGACAAAAAACATAAACAGGACATAATGACATATGAATCAATTAGAGATGCAAACACTATATCTGAGTCATGCTTCAGGGTTAAAACTGCTTGCACAGATCTTGGTTTAGCTCTTGACTCTTGTTATGGAAGGATGTGTGAGTTTGGGGTGAATGATTGTGGAAGATTCTGCAGTTATTAAAGACGTATGAAAAAAGGCCAATTGTTGCTGAATGCAGAAGCTGTTTTGTGACTTCTAATTTCCATATTTTTAAACAAATTTACTATTTGATGGACTAACATAAAAAAAAAATCTTCAGAAATGTACTTTAATTTTAAATATTGCAATATAGTCTGTCAAGTTTTATGGGTTGTTGATAATGGAAGAATAGCTGGAGCGTACAAAAGGAAGAACTCCACACAAGAGAATATTTTAGTCGCTTTGTTTGGCCACATGTGGAAATATACGTACACACATTTCACATTTGGCTTTTTCAAACAGGTTCGGGAAAATGCTCCTGCTCTGTATGCAGAATCTTTCAACAACACCATCAACAACGAACCACTCAGGGCCTGATCCTCATCCCTAAACACAAAGGAAAATGCCTGTCAAGTCTTGAAAGAAATCATGTACCTGCATTTGAAAATCCATTAGGCAAGGCGTGGAAGCTGGAGTAACTGAGGGCAGTAGAAGCAGATGAAAGGGGTGACTCATTTGATGGTGCCACCGTGTGTTTTGAAGATGGAATATGGTCTCTACCTGGCCACATGAATAAAAACGGAAAAGTTTATAGACAGATGGTCACGCTTCTGTGCGAGCATGCACAAGCATTAGGTATGAGTGAATGCATATGCTCTTGGTTGTAGATACACTGATGCGTGCACATTTCCCTCTGTGGCTCAGACCCCCCGGTGTTAAAACCAAAAAGCTACAGGAATGCACACAAATCACTGCTTGTAGGCAGGAAGAAAAGTGTAGGAGGGCAGGAGGGGTAATCAAACAGGAGAGCACTTCAGCAGAAATCGGCAGATTGTTGTTCTTATACTGCTGTCCTCATCCTCTGTCAAATAATGGCCTGTCTGTCTCACTCCATCGTCTTTGCTACTTTCGTCCATCTCTCCATCTTTTAGGCAAACCCCATTACCAGACACCATCACAGATTGAAAAAAAGGAGCTTTTATTTTTGTGTGTAAAGAAAACTTTTTACCATTTCCAATGGCTAAAAAAAAAGTAATTCATTTGACATCTCTATACTTGATATCCTTAAAAGTGGCAGGAAATCATGAAAAAAACTTGTTTTTACATTGGTCTCATCCGGCGATATTCTCTCAAAACCAGTTAAAAGCAAATGATATCGCTCACTGAAAGATGTAAAGCTTGTTAATGACCAAGGAGAAAAAGATGGAGCCTGCATCCACTTCACTTCAGCTGAAACTGAGACACGGGGCTGAACAGGGTGTCATTTAATGCATTATCATCAATTTGCTATACTATACTCGTCTTTTTCCTTTTTTGTCTTTATAGATTTTTCTTAAAAACTTTAGTTTCCCAGTTTAGGACATGTTGCTATATTTATCACCAATAATGTGAGCATTGGTCCTGGAAGGATTTTGTTTAATATATATGAACTTTGTGCTTTGCTCGTTGAAACAAGACCACCACACATGGTTGGAAGAAATTAATTTCAGTATATCTGTCTTATAAAAGAAGGGAAGTATGTTCCCATACAATGGCAAAATTAGTTCTCTGCATTTAACCCATCACACGTGAGATACACCCAGGTGGAGCAGTGGGCAGCTATGTAAGCACCTGAGGAGCAATTAGGGTTTAGGCATCTTCCTCAGAGACACCATGGCATGTGGGAATGGCTGGGAGTCGAACTGCGACTTTCTGGTCTTGTCTTGTCAGTCTTCAGCGCTCAGTGTGAAGAACTTTTGAAGTCCAGTCATGGCCAGAACCAAGCAGACTGCCCGTAAATCCAGCGAAGGTAAAGCTCCCAGGAAGCAGCTCGCTACTAAAGTTGCCTGGAAGAGCGCCCTGACCACCGTCGGAGTGAAGAAGCCTCACCGCTACAGGCCTGGGACCGTGGCTCTGAGAGAGATCAGGCTCTACCAGAAGTCCACTGAGCTGCTGATCAAGAAGCTGCCCTTCCAGCGCCTGGTCCGCGAGATCGCTCAGGACTTCAAGACCGACCTGGGCTTCCAGAGCTCAGCCATCATGGCTCTGCTGGAGGCCAGCGTGGCTTACCTGGTGGGTCTGTTCGAGGACACCAACCTGTGCACCATCCATGCCAAGAGGGTCACCATCATGCCTAAAGACATCCAGCTGGCCCGCAGGATCCATGGGGAGAGGCCTTAAACTGACCCAGCTGGTCACGATACCACAAGACAAGACTTTCTGGTCCCAAGTTGGCTGCTCTACCTCCACCCAATCTCAGCCCCCAATAAGACATGACAATTCTTGTAACATTTTCCACATTTCAAAAAAAATGAAAAAATAGGACAATTCACCCAATCAGCCTCAGACGTGAACACGGTTAAAATTTTGTGGCAAAACTTCACAAGAAAAGCAAATAAACAAAACTCGATGGACAGAAATAGAAATTAAACTAAATAATTTCCACCTGATGTCGCAAGACACTAAAATTATTAAACAGAAGTTAAGTCAATGCTGCAAAATGTCTACATAAATTGACAGACTATTTCTCTGCTGCAGTGTTTGTTTGGGGGTGGGGGCAATAAATAATGACAGTGTTGTTCGACTGATGAGTAGTAAAGATGTTTTTCTTTAGTAGTTGTTAAAAACTCACATCAGCTATAGGTCATTATTCATTTGAAGCACAATATGAGTTTAGTTCTGTCTGAGCGTATTGTGCAACTCGTCGTTAAAGTATTTCAAGACTCAGCTGTAACTGATCAAAACCTCCTAAATGAAACATTTCTGAGGAAAAATAGTAAACAAAATTTAAATAGCGTAATATGTGGTTAAGCCAAAATGATTAAAAAAGTAAAAAAAAAAAATAGACATATTTAGGCCACATTAACTGCCTAGGCAGCACTCTCCAATTTAAATTCACATTAGCATATATTATGACTTGGTGGGTTATGCAAATCAGCAGCATTAATTAGGGATAAAATGTAATCTTTCGCTCTCAAGGAAGTTCTCTCCAGGCAAGTGGAGCACTTGGCTGTCAACTGGGAATTAACTAACCAAAACCTCTGTGAAGCACAAGTTTTCCTCATCTGACTAATTCCCAATGTTTTCTTCGTTAATGGTGTCATGATTAGCGCCTCACTCAGTGGTCTCAAAGCTCTGCACGCGCGGACTTCGGCTCCGAGCAGCTTCAAACCCCAGCTGTAGTCGTAAATGTGATTGGACGTTTCTGGGTTGACTAGATGGCATGCTGGATTACTTGCTGTATTAATTATGCTCTTAGACAATCAACAGCTAAGACTAAGACTTTGCTTTGATATTGAGCTTCATTCCAACATTGAAGCGAGTGTAAGTCCTGCTCGGATATGCGCTAAGCCAGAAACACGAGTGTTTTTAAATATAGTACATCTTTTGCATACCAAAGAGACACATAAAACTTGTCCAATTACGAATGTAGTCTAACATGACTTATGTTTTTCTTCACATTTTCTCTAAAGAACTTGTCTTCACACACAGTTTAGTACACACCAACTCAAGCGACGTGTTTTTGTTTATAGGCCATACGTGTGCACTAATGAAACTAGATAACGGAAATAAAATAAATACAAAACAAGTTATTTGGATGCTATAGATTCCAAGGTGGTGCCTATATCAGTCAACAGTACGTCTTGTACCACTTTAAACCAGATTACAATCTTGAGGGGTTTAAATGTAGTCTTGGTGGGTACCTTGGGCTCTAGGTCGTGTTCTTAAATTGGTCTTGGCCTGTGTTGAACTCTGCCTAAACAGTTGCTCTGCTTTTGGAGAATTCTGTTCAGCTTAGACGTCTGTCAAAATAAACAGATGCATCTTTTAAGAGTGCTTGGAACATTTGTTTTCCACGCTTTTTGTTAACTCTGACCTTATTTTGCACATTTTTACAGTTGCAACAGATGCGTCTGACCCAATAACAGATTTTTTTCGTCTTCTTTCGGCTGCTCCCTTCTTCAGGGGTCACCGCAGCGAACGGACTCGTACGAAGACTTAGCAATTATTTTTACGCCGGATGCCCTTCCTGACTAGACCTGTCACGATACCACATTGTGCTGGGCGATTAATTGTCTCAGAAATTATTGTGATAAATGATAATATTGTTTGAAATTTGACAATAATTAGTAATTATTGTCAAATTTAAGAAGAAACGTTTAATTTGTTTTACATGTAGCGTCTTTTTTTGACCACCGGATGGCAGTATAAGACTGTTTGAACCAAAAGATGGAAAATGAGGGAGCGAGCAGCGTCTCTTTAAGAAAAAGAACCCTAATCCTAATCTTAATCCTAACCCTTGACAAGACATGGGCTGTCTTTCTTCGGTTCTCAAAATGGTGGACGCTCGGTGTGGTTTGAGCTCTTTAGTATTTTTCACACAAAGCTTTTAATAAAAAATCAGTAAACATGTTCTCAGTTTCGTTTTACAGAGAAAAACAATTTTTTACATGAAGGCACTGGTTTCAACCGTGAATTTTGGAGCTTCAACAAAACAAAGTTTTTTGTTCCAGAGGTCAGCCTGTTAGCTTAGCTTCTCAGCTTAGCTGCTTTTAACGATCCAAAAACGCCATTTTTGGATCGTTAAAATGGATTTTAAAGAGAAAGGGTGGGGTCAGTGAAGATCACCGGAGTGGAGCCTTTTGTCGTCCAGTGTCTTCAGTAGAAAGAGAGAAACCCGAAGAAACAATAAAGCCAATAAATGAAAATGAGGTCAATCATTTTCATCATGCGATTAATTGATTTATTATCTCGACAGGCCTATTCCTGACGCAACCACAGACCACTGAGTGAAGCAGAGAGCTGATATCTAGGGCGCCCAGGGGAGCAGATGGTGGGGTTTAGCGCCTTGCTCAGGGGCCCAGAGTGTGACAAATGAGGGTGGAGACAGGTGTGGGTGCTTCACCAACCCCACCCACATGTTGATGTTGTCGGTACCGGGAGTTGAACCAGCGATTTTTCCGATCACAGGCCCACCTTCTCTAACCTCTGAGCCACCACTCCTCGTATAACCCAATAACAGCGCCGCAGTAAAATATAATTTTATATTTCAAAAGCAAATCACATAATGTTGATACATTTCAGAGCTGTAGTCATTTTGGTCAAATCTTGTAAATAACGTTATACGTTAGTCATCCAGGTAAATAAATCACAAAGAAGTTAAATCGTGTCATCTGGACAGATTCTTCTTGGTTGAAACGTTTCGTCTTTCATTCCACTTTGGCCACTTTGTCTTCAGGCTGGTTCTGTGAATAGCAAGCGAACATCAAGGCACTAACGATCGATTGTTAGACTGATGGTCCTCTGTTTTCTTGTGAAAAGCTATCTTCTGGAAGTCCCCAGCAAACTGGTTTGATCCACTTTGAAAAGGTGCTAGGACTGACTTTGTGGCACGGCCTCAGACTGATGTTTCAACCAAGAAGAATCTGTCCAGATGACCTAACTTAACTTTTTTGTGAACGTTATACGTGATTTAATGCAATATTTGCAAGATTTCGATTGACGTGTTTGCACTTGAAGAATATGTATAGGGGAGAGAAACATCCACAGTTAATGCCAGAGTTTTAAGCAACAGTATACACAATGTAACCTTTAGAGTAAGGGTTGTGAATGACTCTCAGTTACTACCATGCCAAATTGTAGCTCATTATCTGAAAAAAAAACAAACAAGTTACATAAATTTTCTTTTTTGCTAATGTCAATTAGCTGTGGCAGCGTCTTGAGTTGATACTTCATTAATGGGTGATGATAATAATGAAAAACACATTTCAAATCATGACTACTGCACTTTTTGTTGTATAAGTTGCACCTTTTTGCATAAATTAGCATGCCCTGTGACTTATACAGCGAAGCAACTTATTTAAGTTTTCTTTTCCCCCATATTTATAAACCAATTTTTGGCTGAGATCTGACAATTTCATTCATTCTGACATGGAAAATATTGAACACTACCATTTTCAACCACTAGAAGGTGCTAAAGTAATGTGACAAGCCAATTGTCTCTTTAATAGGTACAGCTGGCTATTAATGAGCCACTTGGCTTGCCATACCAAGCCACCTTCGTCTTGCTCCGGAACTCCTGGAGCAAACGTCGCCTGGGTGGCGAAAGGCAGCTAATTTGACCATTAAAGTGCATTTATTAAGGAAAAGTTCAACCGAGACACACCTTTGCTATAATTTTGAGCAAACAAATTTGTTTTTAAGTGTTAATCTTGTTAAATTTTTGTTAAAGTCCTCCCATGCACACTCCTGCGGCCGCCATTTGGCAGCAAATTGATTTTTGGCACCACACCGACCCACGTTTCCGGGTGGTCAGTGGTGACGAATAATAAATGAGACTTACGGCGAAGCGATATATATATATA